GGGGGCAAATGTGTTGTCTCATGGACCAAGGTGTGCAGGCCAAAGCACGGATGAGTCTAGGCCTTGGCAAGGACTCAATTTGACTGCGGACAAAAAAGTGGATCAAGCCTTTGGGAGCCTAGTTAAGTGGGAAGTTGGATCGGGAGACAAGATCTTGTTTTGGAAAGACCGTTGGATACATGGTGCAACAATCAAAGAGATTGCCCCATTGGTGGTGGCAAAGGTGCGGACGCAAGTTGCAAACAGGACACTCGTGCGAGAGGCGATGCACATGCATTCATGGATGGATGATCTTGTAGGAGACCTATGCACGGAGGGTCTCACTCAGTTCATCGGGCTTTGGGAGATGCTCATGGAGGTCTAGCTGAATGCTCAGTTTGAGGACCGCCCCATCTGGGCCTGGAGTGCATCGGGCGTATATTCTGCATCCTCGGCGTACAAGATGTTGTGTGAGGGAGGAACTAGATTCCATTCCTTCGGAGCAATATGGAAGTGTTGGGCACCTCTTGCGTGCCAGATTTTCATGTGGCTCGCGGTGCAATATCGTCTCTGGACATCAGACAGGAGAGCCAGGCATGGGTTGCAGGACCAAATCTCACCATGCTACATGTGTGATCAGGAGGAGGACATGGTTGATCATATATTACTGCAATGCGTCTTCTCGCGGCAAGTGTGGTTCCGTTGCATCGCCAGGATAGGTCTGATGGCTGACTTATGCCCATCCAACATCTCGAGGCTGGTGCAGTGGTGGTCAGAAGGCAGAAAGCGAATACAGAAGCAATCTCGGAAAGGCTTTGACACTTTCGTGATGCTAATCTGTTGGACGCTATGGAAGCAAAGGAACGCGAGGGTTTTTGGCACCGGATTGATTAAGAACGAATGGGATACGGTGGACCTGATCTTCGATGATCTCAGGACTTGGGCAAGAGCAGGAGCGTTTGGAGGACATATAGATATAGAGTAGTCGAGTAGCCTTAGGGAGTGGCGTGGAGGGTTGGTTAGGGTCGACTTGTGACCTTTAACTAGCACATGTGTAATCTCTTGTACATATTTTTCTCCCTTCTATAAAGCTAAGGTACGCCTTTGGCGTACCCTAAAAAAAAGTCTTTTTCTGGAGAAATATGAGGGAGATGGGCGGCAAAGGAAATGGGTTTATTTGCGATACAACACAACGTTGAACAAGGCGTGGGTTTTAATAACATATTTTTTTAAATCATGTGCATGACCTTTTTCTAAATATTTTTTTCACAATTCATGATGTTTTATACAACACTCAACCAAAATTCTCCGTTTTTACGAAATAACTAATAGCCATAAAAATATGTTTGGATCTGTAGATAGAAATCGTACCATTTAATGTGATATAGAAAAACCCCAGAACAAGCTTCTTTGAAAAAATATGGAGAGAGGAAGCCGCAGAGGCTATAGGGTCGGGTCAGGGGTCCGCATCATATCGCTTGATTTGATAAAAAAAACATAAGATTTATTCCTGAAAATATTTTCTTCAACCGCGACTATCAAATGATCAGATTCCAAAGGTGGTTTTCCTCCGTTCTCACACTAGAACAATTCAAAATGAACCTAGTTTATCGGAGTGGGCAGTCCACTTAATTTTGCTTGTGGTATATTGTTTATGGTTTCTGGGGAAGTTCAAGGGCCTAATCTGGACGATGGAAGTGGTTAGTTCCCTTCGTCCAATTTCGGCAAAAGAGGCGACGACGGTAGATGGGGTGTTGGCAACATCAACTACCTTGGTGGGTTCCTTCTCTTCATTGTCGTGTTGCTCCTGGATTACCTCAAGGAGTTTGAGAAATACTTGCTTGCTTGAAAGCATCGTGCCGGAGGATGACAATGTGGGCTACGATACGAACGGTGGGATGCTAGGGCAATCATCATGAGCCTCGTTAGCAGTAGTGTCAGGTCGATGCGTTAGATTTCCAAATGGTTGTCTCCTAGTCTAGAAGTGCATCAGTCAACTGTTATGATTTATTATGCTAAGTGTCCTTATTTTGTGAACATGTATATTGGCCGATGAAAAACTCAAAATGTTATAGGATTGTGCTTGAGATGCTGAAACTTGATACCATCTAGCTGTCATGCCTAAATATAAGGAGGAAATATATGTCCAACTGAGATTTTGCTCTTATATTTTCCATATGGCAATATTATTGTCAAGTGGCTATTGAAGATCATGTGGGTTTCTCACCTCCTTTGGAGTTGCTTTTGTCATTGTGGTGGATTCTCATAATTTCTTTTTAGTTCTGTTTGACCCACTTTTTCCCGTTTTTATGCATATGTATTCAAACTATAAAATAATCTCTGAACCCGTGGTTATAATTACTTGTGCTGAAAAGAGATTGCCATGAAGCATTAGGCTTAATAATCGAGCATTAGGAGAACATTTTTTCAAACTAGATGATACCCCGCGGGCTGCCACAGAATTGAATATATAGTTTCTAGATGTTGTGTAGAATATTAATTTAGTCTTTACATTTTAAACTATGTTAAAAATTTCTGCATGAGCAAAAGAAGTCTTAACATGAAAAATTGTGCATGTTAAATGGAATAACCCACTTAGAATGCACGCTAGAGAATTTTCATGCATAGATCAAACGGATGCAAGCTAATAAATCTAATGGCCACAACAATTTTTCTGAAGAAATATTTTTGAATTCATGAACATTATTGTGTGTTCGCATGAACTTTCTTAAAGTTCACGAACATTTTCTGAATTCGCATGAACTTTTTTCAAATCCATGAACTTTTCTCGTATCCACGGACATTTTTTGAAACCGAGTACATCTTTGTGAATATTTTTCATTTTAATAAAACCGGTAAAACCATGAGAGGAAACCAGAAAAAAAGAAAATAAAAACCAGCGAAAGAAGGTTCAGAATGTTCCCAAAACCAGAAAGAACCAAAAGAGTAAAAAAAACTTAGTAAAAAAAACAGAGAAAAGTTAATTTAGTGAGTGGCGCGAACCTTTTGTGCTCGCTCGTGGCTGCCCGTACGCACTGGGCCCGGCCCATGTAGCGGGCTAGCGAGGCTTCAGCGTTACCAGCGCGAGGTGTCAGCGTTAGGGCATCTCCAGTCGCGCCCCCAGAAAGGCCTTTCCAGGTGTTTTTTTCGGGCCGGCGCCGAAAAAACGGCCCAGTCGCGTCCCAGGAACCCGATTTTCGCCGACTTGGGCCGAAAACAGCGCCGGTGGACCAGCCCGAACCCGGCGCGCTGGGGGGCGCCCGGGGGCGCTGGGCGAACTGTTTTGGCGCAAAAAAGCCGCGGGCCCGCCGCGTCAGCGACACGGCTCTCTTCTCGGTCCTTCGTCGTCCTCATCGCCTCGTTTCCCGCGGCGAATCAATGCCAAAGCTGCCGCGCCGGTCAGCCTGCACCATTGATGCCTCACGGGCGGCGCAGTGAAGACCGGACGACGCGCGTCCCTCGCCCTCCCTCGCCCGCCACGCGTACACACGGTGGCACGCGCGCCTCGGCCTATATATGACGCGCCCCGGCGCACTCGGTGACTCACACTCTCCCGCCGTCGTCGTTCCTCCCTCTCCTCTCCTCTCTTTCGCCGTTTCCAGTTCACACCCATGGCCGAGCGCTTCCCAGGCGACGGCGCGGCGACGAACGGCTTCGGCCGCCGCCATCTTCATGAAGACGAGGCTCGCCTCCTTTACGAGGCCGAGTATCCGGTCCCGCCGGACATGCGGGTGCCCGGGGCGTGGAGGATCAGCGAGGGCGGCGTGCCGGTGCCCCCGGTACCCACCGGCGCGGCGCAGCGTGCGGAGATCGCACGCATCCGCTCGAACCTGCCGCGTGCGGCGAGGGAGGGGCTACAGTACGTCCCCGACAGCCCGCTCTGGGACCCTTACTTCCGCCGCCGTGACGCCCAGCAGCTCGAGGCCACCAACGGCGTCGTGCCCTCCGGCAGGCTCAACGCCGCCGGCCGGCATCGGTGATGGGGCGTGCCCGGGCGCACGTTGGAGGCCGTCCTCGAGTACATCGAGGGCGGCAACACGCCGCGCCTCGAGTACCCCGCTCCCCCTTCCTTCTCACGCCGCCGGGGAAGCTCCTGGACCCCGAGGCGCATGGAGACCGGGGGGTCCTCCTCCTCGTCCGGCGGCTCGCCCTGCCTCCGCCCCGTCAAGCCGGAGCCCCAGGGCACGCCGGTCAGCGCGCGCACCCGCAGCTCCGGCGTCCGCATCGGCGCCAACGCCTCTCCACCCACCGGCCGCTTCGTCCTCGTCGAGCCCAAGCCAGAGCCCGGCTTCCCCGCGGAGTACGAGGAGATAGCCCGGCGCGGCTTCTCCGACGAGGACGCCATGCGGTGGGCGCGGGACGACTACCTCCGCGACGAGATGGTCCGGCAGCGTCGGGCCCTGGAGGAGATCGCCGCCCGCAAGCGTGGGCGCGAGGACGAGCACGGCGTCGTGGTCCTCGACAGCGACGACGACGACGACGACGCCCCCGGACCGTCCAACCCGCCGCACCAACCGGGGGAGGGATGCAGCAGGGACGGCGGAGGCGTAGGCGGGGGCGGCGACGACGACGACGATGATGACGACGACGGCGGTGACTACACGCGGTTCTACAGCCTCCTCGGCATGTAGAACCGCGTGGGCGGGCGGCGAGGCGGGCGGCGAGGGAGACGGCGAGGGTAGCCCGCGGTAGTTTTTTTTTCTTTTTTTGTAAAATATGTTTAAGTTTGAACGAACTCGCCGATGCTTGCGTTAAATTTAAGTCGTTTTTGCGCCGTATTTAACTTTTTTTACTAACCGTGGGCGCCGCGACTGGGGGACATCACGCCCCCAATGCGCGGTTTAGCGCCGGTGCGCCCCGGGGACGATTTTTTACCCTCCTGGAGGGCCAACGGCTGGAGATGCCCTTAGAACCGCGATACATAGCTCTGTCCGACGTTCCCAGGGTTTCGTCCCTTTATATCAGCCACGAATCCCGTCCTAGGGCAATCAACAAGCGACGAGCAAGGACGAACTAGGATCATGGCTAGCGTTTACCTAGTCTTCGATGACTGGTCGCGAGGGCACAGCATCCGCGAGGTAATAATCCCGTCTTCCGGCTCTGCCATCTCAGCCCCGGCCGACGCGAAGCCCCCGCCTCCGGTGTTCCTGCGCTTGGAGGCAAGGCATGGGGCGCCGCAGCACTTCGTGTCAGCCTTCGGCACCAAGATCTTGGCCATGCACAGCAGGTACTACGAGGGCAACTGTGCTATGACCGGGGGCTTCACCACCATGGTCGACGTCCGCGAGCGGAGCCTCACCCTTTTCCCCGGGCAGTTTTATCCGTGTCAACCCATCTATTTCTCCGACGGCAACAAGCTGTTCTGCCTGAGCCTAGGCAGCTTCGAGATGCTCATCTGGGACCGGGACCGGGACCGCCCGCTGGATCCTTCTCACGGCGTGGAGAGCTCGTGGGAACAGCTCCCGGAACCGCCATTCGAGCGTTATGACGTCACCTCCTACGCCGTGCAGCCTCAGTCCTGGATCTTCATCGTCAGCACAAAGATAGACGCCGCTGAGGCCACCTACGCCTTTGACATGGTGGAACTTTCATGGAAACAACTTGGCAGTTGGGCGCTGCCCTTCGATGGCCATGGTCACTTTGACCAGCACCTCAATGCCTTTGTCGGGCTCTCCAAAGAACCGGACACCCTCGGCCAACTCTACTTTTGTTATGTGCCCATGAGTTAATTACACGATAGTACCACAATTGGGGCCGTGGTGGCGAACTGGTACCAGTTTTGAAAATTTTTACGTGTCAGTACCATGTTTGGACCGAACCGTTGCAAATCGGGCTAAACTTCGTATTTGTACGTATTGACGCTGGAACTGACCGCCCGGGCCCGCGCGTCAGATGCCACGCTGGCGAATCGGCACTCGCCCGCTCGCTCAATAGGTGCGGTCCGGCCCGTGCTCCACTCTGTTCCTCCTCGCCGTCTCTGTTCGTCGATGAACCCTAGCTCCCTGCGCGTACGGCGATGGCGGCGGCGCCCCCGGGCGGTGGTGGCGGCAGCGGCGGTGGCGGCGACGGCGATGGCGGCGGCGCAAACCTTCCCCTCTTCGGCATCGGCGCGGCAGGAGGAATCGAGGGGAGATCTCCAATCGAGGGCGGCGATGGCTACTCGAGCTCTGAGTACTCCAGCGACGACGACGAGTTCATTGAGCCCGCACTGTCCATGGAGCAGCGGGTACGGCTGGCAAAGCAATGGGTGGCGAACCCTAGCAATAGCCATGAGCTGACCCACGGGCTCGGCGGCGTCCTGTAAGTTTCTGTTTCTGCCTCTTTTTTTTCTTCTCATTTATTTGCTAATTAGGGTTATAGTGTACTGATTAGGCAAATCAACAAGGCAAAAAGGTTTTCAGAGGACTTTGTAAGCAAATTCTTCAAGAAACCATATTATTTGGCAGCATATGAACCAATGATATATCCTGTCCCTGGTGAGCATGACTGGACAAAGACCCCAGGTCCAGACATAGAACCACCAGCATTTAAAGTGAAGAAAGGAAGAAGGAAAGAGAAGAGAATAAAGGGAAAATTTGAAGTTCCAAAGCCAAAGTCCACCTCAAGAATGGGGACAATAACTTGTAGCAATTGTGGATTACAAGGGCATAAATACACAAACTGCCTTAAACAGTTGAAACCTGAGTTGGCCTTAAGAAAGAACAAACATGTGGTAAGCCCCTTTGCACTAGTTCTTCATTTTGATGTTTCTGTAAATTACCTTTCTTATTTGTAGTATTATTAACTGTGTTTCCTTTGAATTGTTTTCCAAGCCTGCTGGAAGGAATTCACAAGCAAGAGGTGTTGCTCCTACAGCTCCTGCAACAACACCTAGAGCTGCTTCAGCAACAGCTAGATCTCCTGCACCAACAACTAGGGCTCCTACACCAACACCTAAAGCTCCTACACCAACACCAAGAGCTGCTCCACCTGCAACAACTAGGGCTCCTGCTCCAACACCAGGAGGAAGAACTGGAAGTGCTGCTGGTAGAGGTGGTGGAAGTGGTGCTGGTAGAGGTGCAGGAAGAAGGGCTGGTGGTGGAAGAGGATCTGGAAGAGCATCTTCTAGTGCTCAATCTTCTGCTGGGAGAGGTGCAAATTCTTCAAGGCCTTTCTCTGCCCCAAGGCAGTATGGTGCCTCAACTTCTAGTGCTCCTCCACCAACTGATGGCACACACACTGGATGGATGGCCTGGTTCAATGCTAGTAGAGGTGGCAGAAGGTGATGCAAACTTCTGTTGATTCTACAATGTGCACCTGCTACAATGTGGCATGTTATCTTTTGGTTTGATGCCACTACAATGTCTTGTATTCCTGCTACAATGTGCTTTATTTTGGTTTGATGCCACTGC